ATTAACAACACCACCACCACAAGCATTGTTTAAACCATTACCAACACCACCACCACCACCACCACCACCACCAGTAGTTGTATTTGAAAAACCTACCAAATGTTGATGAGCTTGTAACTGATGTTGCGTTAATAGGTTGCCGCTATCATAGGACAACGTATTGCTACGGGAACCGGGCGTTGTTGGATTGCTATTGTAATCGGATTCCGGGGTAATTGCAGTCGCCATAGTTGCCAATAAATTATTGTTATCACCCACTCCGCTGAAATTCAAGTCACTTTCGTCGTAAAAGACGCTACTGCTCGAACCGATTACCTGTTCATTTAGGATAATGCTACGTAAAGCATTATTATAGCGATCCAAATTGCTTAAAACAATCGCAACATTTTGTTTTAAACTTTCCTCGCTCAATTCTTCATCGGCCGGATCCTTCGCTTGCAATAATTGCTGCTGTTGTTGTTGTAAATGCTGTTGCTGCAGCAATAAATCATTCAAATGTTGCTGATATTGAGTATGAGAGAGTGACGGTAATTTGGATATATTGCCACGCCCACTTTGTTGATATTGATAGTGATGATGATGCTGCTGTTGCTGTTGCTGCTGCTGCTGCTGCTGCTGCTGATGCTGCTGTGACTGTTGTTGTTGATGTTGTGTTGTGTTGATGTTATTGTCTGCATAGGAGGAGGCGTTATATGCAAAAGGTGAATTACTAGGACTATTAAATGGGTTACGATAATGTGTAGGAGAATGTGTAACCGATGACCCCACAGACGACGGAGAACGTATTTCGTTTAATTTAAGATTTGCCGAAGATGAACTGGTAGGGGGTTGTGTTTGCTGATTATTGTTATGATTGATGAGGGTTTGTTTCAGGGTCTGTGTTAAATTTCTATTGAATTGCGCAAAATGTTGTGGCGAATTGGTTAATAACGGTTGATGATGATGATGCTGAGGCTGATGCTGATGCGTATGCTGATGATGATGAAGCAAAGGGGCTGTGCTAGCCGATGAGTTATTAGACAAAGGTGAATACGATACGAAATGATGACGAGGTGAGTTTTGAAGTGGTTGAGATGATAAATGAGTTTTGTTATTAATATCGTTATTTATGGAGAATTCGGTCATGCCACGACAAGATTTGTGCCCTATAAAGAAAGAAAAAGATGCAAAAACTTATTTAAATATCTTTTTTCGTTTTTTAAGTATCAAAAAAGTTTCTTATAACTATTGCAAGCAAGTCTTTGCACCAAAATTTTTAAACTTCATTTGTATATTTTGTAAGATAGTATCGACTATGACTTTCAACAATCTATTCAAAACTCGATCTCTAACAAACTTTCGAAAAGGCACTGCTTGCAGCAAAAGACCATATCCCTACTTCATACTTGCGTATGTATACACATCAAAAGCATATAGTTTACTTCTTCTGATTTTAGTTAAGTAAAAAATCTTGAGAGTTTTTACAGTAACTGAATATTTATTGAAAAGAACAGAATAATATTTTTGGTAAAGTAAAGTAAACGTTCTACGAAACAATGCTTGGAAAGATATAAACCGACTTGATTACGAGTGAATCTGAGCCGTACATCGTCTTTAAACTTAATTTTTGCTTAACATTTATATTTAAGAATGATTTTAATAATCACAATATTTAGCATATTTACGAAAAGTTTCAGCAATAATCGGAATATAGTTTACTGACTTGTTTAAACAATTAACTTTTATTTGCCATCTCGAGTCTCACTCTCTCTCGTTACAAAAGAAATGAAATGAATTGAAATGTTTTTGTTGGTTTATTTTGCTTTTCAAAAGAGTAAAGAGAAATATGTTCGTTCGTTAAATTCCATAAAGTTTAAATTGTTCTTAATTGAATTTAATTAAGAATATCATCTGTCTTCTTATCTTTCACAATTTTACAACTCCTACAATTTCCCTTTTGAATGACACAGAGCATTCAGTCTCTTGATAATTGAATGTTAAGTTAAAAGCCGACTGACTCTATTTGTGAAAGACGTTTACTTACAATTATTGTAAACTGTTAATATATATATATATATTTGCATTTGTGCATATGTATGTGTATATATTTAAACTTTCATGTATTTCAATAATGAAATTTTCTTAAGTACATATACCATCGTACATTGATATATGGACGTCAAGGGACTATTATATCTTCATGCAATACTCGAGTGTACGTACGTAGTGTATTGTGTTTTATATGATGATGTAATTGACCATAGAATTCATCAACCATTTTGTGGTTACCATGTTAAATATATATAGATTGGTTTTTTTTCATATATATATTTATATACATTTTTTCAATAAACAGTCGATAACAATGTCTTTAAAAAGAATAATTGATAAGCTATTGCTATATAGCAGTTTGGAGGAAATAACCAAAAAAAAATATATATGTATGTTCACACAAAACAATAACACAATAACGCGCTTTATAACACGGATTCATATGAGACGAATATGTATTACACGGCGGAAGAGTTCTGAACAGGTTCGTGTGTATTGCTATTTACTTTCCTTTTAAGATTGCTCTTTACGCAACAACGATTTGTCCCTGATGTACGCAAATAAATTGAACATAATATATATCCAAAGCCAAGTAAAAACGTTATAGTGAACTATGGTCCATTATTAAATATTGCTTGTTACATTTATTCACATAACGATTCGTCAAAATAAGGCGTTATACGGAAAGAGTCGTCGTTCGCTTCGAACCATTTTCAATAGCGTTTGCCTTTGGGCTAAAATATGTCGATGTATCAAGTTTTATCAAAATATTTTAAAAATTCCGACTTGTAGGTTAAGATAAAAATACAAAACATTTAAACGGACAAACAAACTTGGATCGATTCAGAAAGTGAATGCTAATCGATCGGAATAATATAAGGTGGATCGATCTCAAGTTCTTCTGGGTGTTTGTCACACTGGCATGACATTTACCGATTCCGGTACGTATTAACCGCATAGAGTGGGGAACGCCGGTACACTTTTTATAACAAGTCATTACTTTGCAGCCCAAGTTTTATCATAAATTAGTAACCTTATGAATGCTTATTTTACTTTATTTAAGGATCTTCTTATCAGACAAAAGATTATTTGTTTTTATTATTATTATTATAATTTAATTTAACCAGAGAAATAAATTCTAAAACTACAACCTAAGTACTAAAGCACTAGGATTTCAAGCTATCTCGGTTTTTTTTTTTTTTTGAAAATTCTACCGCACTTGAGATTTGAACCCATTATCATTAAGTTGCTATTCGAGATGCTTTGCCCACACGGTCACGCCAGTGAATTATTTGTTTTTATAGGAAGTGATCGCGACATAGTACTGACCCAATTCAGTTTCAGTCTTAGACTCAAAACATGCTAATGTAACAAATTTTCTCTTGAAAAATGACATACTCAGATTGCTCATGCTCAATGCATGATTTAATAAGATCGCAAGACGACTTTTGACGAATCCATAGGACTATCCCAACAATAATTCTGAATCGATTGGTTTACACCATTAGAAGATGGGCTTGAAGCCCTCTTAAGCAATCCATTGCGCACGTACCGTACCCTCTCACATATTTATTCATTTATTTCTTACTACAAACGTTGTACAATACAGAGCTCAGCTCAATAGGTTTTCAAACATTCTACAGTGCGACTTTATCAATGAGAAAAATTTCGCTTTGAAAGAAATGTTTTTTGCTCTTATAAATCTACGATAAAAAAGGTTTACCTGCGACATAATATGTTTTTCGTTGATGATAAATAAATTGAAGACAAAATAAATTAATTAAGATTTTATACGTACCACCTTTTAAAAGTGACGACACACCAACGCCACTATTGCACTTAAATTGATGATAATTGTTGCTTACGTTATTGTTTTCATTTTTAATATTATTATTGTTATTATAATTTCCATTATTGTTGTTGTTATTATTATTATTATTATTATTATTTAACGTATCGTTTAAATTGAAATTGATATTCTTATTATTATGAAATACATAATTATCAATGGGCTGTTGTTGTGGTTGCACTCTCATATTGTATTGACGATATTGTTGGTTTTGTTGCAATTTCAATTGTCGTAAATACTGTTGATTGCATGTAAGCGTACCGCCGCCCGTAATTGTTGGCGATTTTCGTACCTGCACGCCTTGTTCTTTCAGCTGCTGCTGTAAGCGTTTTCTTTGCACTAATTGTTGATGTAACAATTGCAATTGTTGTTGCTGCAATTGCTGATAATAACGTAATTTCTGTAATTGTTGTGGAGTCAGACTTTGAGGCTGAAAATGATTCTCTTTCGACGACGATGAGGCGGAACTGTCACAACCACTACTGGTACTGCTCGAATTCGATGCACTCGATTTGGCAACTTGTTGCCAACGTTGTGTAGACATGTTGCCAATATTTATCTTTTTGTTATTGTTAATAAAATTATTTGAATTATTATTATTATTATTATTATTATTAATGTTATTGTTATTATTTACAGAGCGCTTGCTTTGCATTTTGGAAATGTCGGCGAATTTTATTAGAAAAGCAATAATTAATAAAAACATTTAGCTTTTAAGCTGCCACGTAGTAATATTTCACTCAGTTCATTTGCCTGAATTTTGTGCCTTTGTGCCTTTTATTTCATTTCATTGGTTCAATGTATATAAAATTTCCTTAAGAAAGGAAACTTTTGAGAAGATTTTCATTTTGATGATGCTTTGTATACATTATTGTAAATTTTTTTTTTTTTTTTTTTTGTTTTTCTTTTTAGTTCAGAGTTTTATTTTGGTATTGGAGTTTCTCTTCTTTTTTTTTTTTTTTGCTTTATATATTTTCTTGTTTTAGACCAACGCTAAGATTTTATCATATCAGGAAGACTTCTTCTATTTTCTCGTTGCCAGGCATTTTCTTTAGTTTGTTTATAATATATTTTTAAAACTTACATAAATTTTATGTTTTTTGGTAGAAATTTTTCAGTCTTTTTTTTTTTTTTTTTTTTTAAAGAACTTTACATAATAACGGTTTCAGCCCTTATAATGGAAAAATGTTTTTTGTTCTGTTTAAAAGTTGAAAAACTTATTTACAACAAAAGTGAACGTTCAACCAAAACATTATTTCACAAAAAAAAAAAAAAAAAAAAAAAAAAATTTTATATTGTTTAAGTTTAAAATTGAGTAATCTTTAACCACTTTAGGGACGACTTTTTTTTTTTTTTTTGGTCCTATTCTATCAAGCAATTGTACAGCGTAAGTATCGTTGCTTATGAATGAAGCCGCACGATTTGAATTTCTCTTGTTGCAAGAATAAATTATTTTCAAATTTTTCTCCTTTTTATTAATATATAAAATAATTGAACTCTAAATTCTTGATTGCTTTAGGATTATAAATCCTTTTGATCATGTGTGAGAAGTTGATATCGAAAATTAATACATTCTTGAATACACTCAACTCAGGCTTTTGCTTTCTTCTCCTTTCAAACTTATGTCCCGGCCAGCTTTCTAAAATGACGAATACTCGCCATGAGGATATAACAAATAGCCAACTGCCGTCCGATATTTACTATAATGCAATTAAAGTTTGTTTAATGGATTTTTTTATAAGCTTAGCGTTAACGACAAACATTACCCTGCTACGGGCAGCACGCGATAAATTTCTCATTTTTATGCTCATCCACACTCTCGCCTATTAATGTCGTTGTTATAAATGCTGGAGAGTTCTATTCTCGAATGATTTTGTATGGTAACAGAATTCTATTGTTGCTGGTGCTGGTTTTATTGTTATCATGTTCTAATATCATTGAATTCTCCCCAGCTATTAAATTCTAATAATATGATATCGAATTCTATTTTGGTGCAAAATTTTTATTGTCAGATTAAATTTCTATATTGTTACTTAGCTTAGACTGTTTTACTACTGCATTCTTCTGTCTCTGCTTGCTTCTATGACTACATATTTCTGTAGCTACTCACTCAATTTTGCTATTATTAAATTCTATTGCTAATCCATTCGTTTGATAACGAGTTTTGTAGCCAAGTTTTAATTTAATAATGCGACCAAAAAGTAAGACCAATGTTCAAGTTAAATTGCGCGAGTATATCGAATATCAGATATATTATTTTCTAAATTGCCAGCATTGTGATAGGCATGGCATGTTTCATTCAACTGCGCTTAATATAAAAAATATTTTTTCCGCTTTTTACAACATATGTAAACAAATGATTTCTGGCTATCAATTGATCGCGAAACGCATTATTACAGGGGATGAGATTTCGATCTACGCACAAGTCGATCAATCGAGCGAATATCGTGCAAAAGGTGATCCAACATCGAGAAAAATGCGTCAGAAGTCAAGTTGACCTTAATAGTGGCATTGTGCACTATAAATTCATTCAAACTATTTGAATTTGAGGCGACGACGAAATAGATTAATAAAAAAAGGAAATATTAAATTCGTCATACTTTTTGGATACAGTATCGGATATTGTGATATGGACGTACGTAAATGCTTTAACAAATTTAATATACCGTAGAATTCAAAATCATGGTAATATAATATATTTTACTCTTTCGCTCGAAAACGGGTAACAATTAAATTCGACTTTAAAATGGCTTTTGCCCCAATTTATGTTAAATTTGCATGTTCAGATCTAGACGGATTTGTATTTATATTTATTATATATATATGTACATATACTCGTTATTGCACGTGAATTGACCTCGTGCAAGTTTGTTGGTTGCTTTATCACGTTTCATTATGCCTTCGAAACAACTTCATGTTCAAACTATTTAAAAGTTAATTTATGAGCTTTTATTACCTAACCTTTTTTTTTTTTTGTTTATTTTTGTTTTATTTTCTTTTCGTACACAATCGACAAAAGCAACGCTAATGCGGTTTGAAAAAATTTTCTATGCCTTCTTTTGCATAACAAAACAATAAAATGCTACTAATTTCACTTTAGACATTGAGAATAGTATCGTTTGGATTTATTTTATGCTTGGTGCATGGCATATCAAAGAAGTTTTATTTTTAATTTTTCAAAAAAAAAAAAAAAAATTTTCTCTTTTTATTTATTTATTTTGCTTTTGTGTTGCACACAACACACAACACATATTTTTGGGTGTTTGCTGTTGTGTTTACCCGATAATTTATAGTTATACTGAACTGTAAAGGTTTTGCACGTTATAATTATTCTGTACATCAAGAGTACGCATGATATATATATACATATATATATGTGGACTATGGAGATGTTTAAAAGAAAAACAACAGCAACAACAACAACAACAACGAAAAAAAGATCAAGGCGTTTTGCTTTTATATACCGCACCTATTTGTAGCTTAAACCGTATTGACTACAAAGGGAATAAAAATAATACTTTTGGACATGAAATAGTTTGTTGTTGTTGTTTTTCAATTTCTTTAATATTTTTTTTTTTTTTCATTTTTTTCTTTAAATTTCATGTTATTTATCTATTTTTTCCGGTTTGCAATGTAAAAGTACATACAGTGTCAAAAACAATTTTTATCACTGTGTACATTTTTTATTTTTTATTTATTATTCATTCATTTTTTATTTTTTTCTGAAGTCACATTCAATCATAAACGTGACGATCTTTATTCTTGCGTACAATTTACGAGGAATACAAAAAGATTCATAAATACTTATAAAGGATTACTGTATACGTATGTATGTATTGAATATAATATGTAGGTCAATAATTACCGGGACTATGAATAACTTATATCTGTAAAATTCGAGTCTATTCCGTTGTCCTTCAAGTGGGACCCAATCATTATAAACATTGTCAAGGCACTACTGGCAGCATCCTTTGGATGTGTGCAAACAAATAGCAGTCATTGGGAGTCAGATATGCAGAAATAGCATAGTTCATCCATTGTAACCATTGGCTTGAGACACGTGCTGTTTTTGTTTCGCAATGAGTGCCTGCTTGGAAAATAATTTCTTCATGTCGAAATTTGCGAATATGTTGCCTTTTGATGTCTTTCGGACGTCACTTATCGCTTGCAATTTCATTCTTCAATTATCGGAAACTATTTTCGGAATTGCTTTCCTGGTGTGAACATCTTTCTTGGGCTTCTACTGCATTAAATATCATCGGCGTCTTTTTGATCTCATTCTAAATCAGTAAACCAACGATAAATTATTGTTTTCGATGGTGTCGACTTGAGGAACACTTTCGAAGCCAATACAGAGTTTCAACGGTATTTTCTTCCTATCACAAGGCAATGCTTAACCCGTTCACATTCGAAATTTGAACTCTTTCATTATTTTGGAAATGATAAAAGTAGCATCACTTAAGCCATCGTGGATTACGTGGCCGGCATTACTTGAGTGTTGGCATTTCAAGAAAATCTCATGAACTTTCCTACTTTTCTAAGGCAACATTTATAAGGGTAAGTACCGGGACTTAATGACTAACGTACTGCATGCATGAAAGAGAAACATGTCAACAACTAATTAATATTCAGCCACGTTGTTGTCAGTTCATTTATTTATAAAAGACAAAAAAAAAAAAAAATTTTAACTGGCAGTGACCTGTTGTATACGATTCGATATTTTATTTATATGAAGCAATGTCGGCCTTTTGTAAAGATTACCAACGAGCAATGAGAAATTACAAAATGTCTCTTCTCAGAGTATTCAAATTACGAAAATGTTGTCAAGTTTTGTTAATATCACGGTACAGTAATTAATATTTCCACTCGTGTAAATGAAACAACTGATCAAAAAAGGGACTATCACCTATTATACAAGCAATACAAGCAATAAGAAGAAGAGAAAGAAAAAAATTATTTGAAATTCGATTTGCGCAAACCGAACCGAGAAACCTTACAAAAAATTTCCATTCTTTCTTTATCAATATGAAGATGTAAGTTAATTGAGCTATGTCTGATTCAATTGTCGATAAGAAAAAAAAACATGCACCACTAAAATTCAAATAGACGATATGGATCTTGGAGTTAAATATACATCTGCTTCGGTCGTGCAGAGCAGCCATTCAGTTGACTTCGAAAATGTGAAAAAGAAAATTTGCACTGCTTAGCATATAGGGCAACTTAAAAGAGAAAGATGTACAGGGCCGGCATTTTTAACGGCATATAAAATATGTTTTACATAATTCTTCTTAGGGGAAAAAAAAAACACATTGGCCTTTGTAAGATGGATGCTACATTTGCTGTCATTCAAATGATTTATTGCTCTTAGGTTGAACAAGTTTTTTGTAAACTTAATTTTTTTTCTTGTTTTGTGCGAAAGAAAAAAAAAAATCATCATAAATTCTAAATTATCATAATATTGGATTAAAAGAATATCTTGAAAATTACAAATTTTAATAGAACAACTTTTAATAGATAACTCGAATGATGTAAAGCAAATTTGGAATATTGATAGGAGCAGTACTTCCCGACAGCCCTGGTAAATATCAAAGTTAGGTTGAAGACATCTTTCTTTTACAGTTGTCGAATTTTTAACGGCTGCAATCAAATCTTTTATACCCAGAAAAAGTTTTTCTTAAAAAAAAAAATAAATAAATAAATAAAGCGCTAAAAGAACATTCGTGATATTATGATTAGATGCGCGTGGCTGGATTTTATATTTTTCTCCAGATACTGCAGATTCATTCAGACTCATCTAGAATATGCATACAAATGCTTATTGCTGTTGTTTACAAGGAAGGCGAAGAAAGAAGCCCGTTGGGTGTTTTCTTCGATCAACTTGATTCATTTTCAACGATATCATGGTTTACCTGCAAGACCTTCCAAATATTTTTTCCGACTTTGAAGCCGATTAGATTCAGGCTCAACTTCTGTTTGTACCATAATTTTGATAAAAAATTAACTCTACTCTGCATAGAAAAAAAAAAATGTTGAGATATTTTAGAGACAATTTGAATTTGTTGAGACTTGAGTTCTTGTCCAGCTCGTGCCCTCTTCTACAATAGAAGCGATCAGGAGGAAGTTCTCCTGACTTTCTACTCATAAATAAATTGACTAAACCTATTCACAATCGTAAGTAGATCGCAATTACTTGATGT